ACAAAACAGGTCATTCGTACGGGAGTCTCGTTGCGAAGATGCGGCTGGAACGCCAAGGCGTGTCTCCGCATGAGGGGAGAAGGAGGAGAAGGAGGAGGAGACGTTGGTCTCATCTGGATCGTCCTTTGCCAGCAACGGCACACGTTCCCCCACACGCTCATCACGTGCACCACTCGCCGCCTGCTGTCGTGCTCTTCCGTGTCCAATGCCACTGCTACCTATCGATCCCATCCCTCGCCGCCTTCTCCCACCACCATTGCGGCTGCTTGCCCCTCTGACACCTCCCTCCTCCTCATCATCGTCCTCATGCACAGTCACATCCACAACACCTCGCTTCTTCCTCATCCTCGTTGTGTTTGTGTGCGCGAAACGCAAACAAAAACAACAAAGAAGACAACAACAACAACAACAAAGACGAACAGAAGCAGAAGGCTGAACACAACGCAACCACAAGCACACAACACAACACCTCCTACCTCAGCTGCCTTGCACTGCTTTGTCTTATCTTTGCTTCTCCTTGCCTGCGACCCTTCTCCCGAGCTAGGCCTGTTTCTCGTTTGCAGCGCTTGTTGCTTCCACCGGCCCGCCATGCAAGAGGTGTTGGAGGTTGTGGAGGCGATTCTGGCTCGTCCAAACGACGAGCTCACGCAACAGTGGAACGAGTAAGTGGCTGCGAGCACAGTTCATCACCACACTCGTCTTGTTTGCTCGTCTGTGATGGTGGCCCACGCCGTTGCCACGTGCACATGCATGTGTGTGTGTTTCTGTGTGTATGTGTGTGTGTGTGTGTGTTTGGCTGTTTATATATGTGTGTGTGAGTGATTATCGGTGCACTCACATGCTGCTGTGCCCATACAGCACATGCATGCCCCTGCCAACGCGCTCAGCCATGTTCTTCTCAACACAACGCTCATGCAGATACACACAATCACACGATTACACGATCACACGATCACACACGATTACACGATCACACGATCACACGATCACAGGTTCCAGAATAGCGATGCGGCGTGGTCCACGCTGCTTGACGTGATCCAGTCCCCCTCAGCTTCGCAACCGGTGCGCCTGTTTGCGTGCACGACCTTTCGACACAAGTGCACGGACGGCAGCTTGCTCGCCCTGCAGCCGGAGGCGCTGCACGAGCTTTACCAGCGGCTTGTGGCATGCATTGGGATGGACGCCATTGGCAAGGCCGAGGCCCGGTCCCTGTGCATTGCCGTCGGCGCCGTGCTGGCGCGAGAACCGCAACTGCTGGAAGCTGCGCTCGAGGGCCAGGGCGTCTTCAACGACCTTCCCACCAACCTCGCCTTTGATGCCCTGGCCAGCGTCCCGGAGATGATCCAGCCATCCTCGTTCACAACACAGCAGGAACACCAGCGACGCATACACGCCTCCGTCAACCGCGTGCTCTCGCTCACCACCCAGGCACTTGAGCAGGGCCTGTCTACCACGGACGGCGTCGCCGTGTGCAGAACCATCACGGCGTGGTGCTCCGGTGACGTGGCCGCATCAGTCACCCCACAGACCACCGCCACCCTCCTCCCCTGCCTATGGCCCGTGCTCCTTGCCGACACCCCAGAGGCGGTCGTTGCCGCTGCCGACGCGTTCACCGCGCTGCTGGAGAACGTGCGAATCAGCGAACACGAGGAGTGCGTGCAGTTCCTGGCTGCGCGCGTGTGCGACGCAGCAGAGCCCGCTGCACAGCACGTGCAAGCGCTGTACGCGTCCGCATATGAGCACGGTATCGGTGGCGACGATGGCGACTCGGCATACACGGCGCTATTGCGGTTTGCTGCCGTGTGGGCAACGAGCATGGCCCTTGTTCTGCCTCGCCTCCTCGTGCAAGGCAACACAGACACGGTCGGTGCTGCGGTGATGACGCTGTGCGCGCTGCTCAACCACCCGCTTCTTCCCGTGGCGGAGGTCGCCCTTGTCGGCTTTGCGTCACTGCCGGAACTGGACGGTTCTGCCGACGCGACTGTTCCGCTCATGCGCGAAATCCTCAACAGCATCTGCGACAGGTGTCGTTTGCATTTGTTGCCGCTGCTGTTTCATGGTTGTGGTTGTACTTGTGTGCGTGTGTGGTTGCGTGTGTGTTTGTGTTTGTGTGTGTGCGTGCGTGCGTGTGGTTGCGTGTTTTGCGTGTGTATTGCGACGATGCGCCTGTGTGTATTGCGACGACACGTGTGATGTACCTCACTGTACACGTGCCAATGCTTGTTGCAGGTGCTGCTTCATTGAGGACGACGGCACGCGGCGCGAGTGGGAGGAGGTCGCGCAGGACTTCAACCGTGTTAGGAGAGCAGCCAGGTGTGCCATCAGTTGCGGTGAACGAGGGCCTGGCAAGTTGTTCCTTCACGGTTTCATTGTCTTTGTCGGTTTGCACCACACACACACACACACACACACACACACACACACACACACACACACACACACACACACACACACACACACACACACACACACACACACACACACACACACACACACACACACAAATACAGGGATGCAATTGCGGACATTGCCTTGTCGTTGCACGATCCGATCTGGCCGCTGGCGGAGGAACTCATGTCCACCCGCCTCTCATCTGACTCACCACAACGCGTCGAAGTCGCCCTCTTCCTCATCGAGGCAGTCTGCTCAACGGTGCGTGTGTGTGCGTGTGTACGTGTATGTATGTGTGTGTGTGTGTGTATGTGTGTGTGTGTGTGTGTGTGTGTGTGTGTGTGTGTGTGTGTTCGTCCTTCTCGTCCTCCTCATCCACGCCCTCCGCCTCTTGTTTCTCCTTCCCTTGTTTCTCGTTTTGCGCACGTGATTGTCCACTTCCATGCCCACCATCACCACGTTGCACTCCACATTCCTTCGCCCCCACGCCCGGCCACCTGCTGTCAGGTGCCAGCCCCGCAGCAGAGCGTCTCGTCACAACTCGGCGACACGTTGGCGCAGGTCGCCAGCCTCTGTTTCTTGCAGCTCGCGGTTAGGGCACACGTGTCCCGCCTGCAACTGTAATGTGCACTCATGCGCTACGCTGACTTGCCCGAGTTCCTTCGCTCCCTGCCCTTTCCCACGCACACGCACACGCACACGCACACATACACACATGTTCTTTGCACCCTTTCCCTCCCTCCCTCCCTCCCTCCCTCCCTCCCTCCCTCCCTCCCTCTCACACATACACTCACACATGCACGCACGTATTGCCTACTTCTGCCGCCCTCAAGCCGGATACCCGCGTGGAGCTTGCGCGGCTGCGGCTGCTGAATGCGCTGATCCCACACGTCGTCTCCAACCCGAATCTCATCCAGCCCGCGTTTGCACTCTGCATCGAGCGCGCACAGCTGCCGGAACTTGCACAGGTGCGCGCTGGGGTGGACGCGATGGGGTGCGATGACAGCGTGGGGGGGGGTGAGTGGAATGGTGTGTGCGTGATAGCGGCAGCGTAACACGGTTGGTGCATGCTGTTCGTCAGCGCGCGCGAAAACGAATCATGCCAATGCACACTTGACATACACAACGCAACACACAATGCAACACACAACGCACGCACACACACACACACAACGCACACACACACACACACACACACACACACACACACACACACACACACACACACACACACACACACACACACGACGCAACACAGGAGGCGGGACGGGTGATGGCAGCGGTGATGGCGAAATTACGGCGAAATCTCACGGGTGTCGACATCTCATCACTTGCGAGTGCGCTCGTGTCAGCTGCCGTCCACACAGAGTGCGTGACTGCGAGGGGGTGGGGGTGGAGAGGGGCAAGGTGACGTGAGGGGGTTCAAATCCTCCTGTGTCGTTGGTGCTGTTAGCGGAGACGTGATGCATCTGTTGTCCAAATGTGTGTATGCATGTGTACATACACATGCGTTGCGTATGTGCGTGTGCGCGTGTATGCAGTGCACTTCATTGGTGGTTGTGAGACTAGTTCTGCTGCTGCGCTGACCGGTTCGTTGCCCACGCCACTTCCCATCCACCCCGCCTTCATCATCAGTGCTGAGGAGGTCATTGAAGCCGCAACGCGTCTGCTCGTCGCCCATGTCACGTCCACGGGCGCTTACGCAGGTCAGCAAGGAACTCCCTGCACGGTGTGCTATGTCTCATGTGGCTGTTCTCCTGTGGGTGTGCGACACGAACACGGCGCATGCACACAAGCATATGCAACCAGGAAATGCACGCACGCACGCCCATATTGCGCTTGAACAAGGCGTGCCTGCCCACAGAGTTTACGTTCCATCCTCATGCCTTGCTTCCCCGCTTCTTCCCCTTTGTCAGATGCGCTGTCATCGTTGACGTCGGGATTACTGGACCGCCTGTCCACAATCCTCACTGCTCCAGATCTCAACGGTACCCGAATGAATACTTTGTTTTGAATGCATTCGTTTGACCCGGCTTTACCCTGCGTGACGCGCCGGCATAGACACACACAGGCACACAGACACACACAGGCACACAGACACACACACACACACACACACATATATTTATATATATACACAGACACATAGACACACAGACACACACACATCTCTACGCATGCACACAACTTGCTGGATTTTACTCGTCAAACTCACAACACATTCATGTAACATGTAAATGGTATGTTATTGCCTCCCTTTCTGCATTATAGTGATTGCACTGTGCACGTCCTTGGATCTTCTTGGCATTCACGTCCGCTTCTGTGACGCCATGAGGACGAGCGAGGTGCGTTGCGAACACAGCCGGTACTGTCTTGTCCCGTTGCTGCTTTTTGTATCTTTGTCTGCAATTTCACTGCAGCTCATTGGCGCAAACAAACAACCAAACACTCACACACACACACACACACACTCACACACTCACACACACACACACACACACACACACTCACCCACTCACCCACTCACATACACACACATACACACACATACACATACATACACATACGCACGCACGCACTGACTGGTTGCATCGTGAAACAGGAAACCC